AACCTTTCTAGGCCTAATTTTAGGTCGGATAATGTGAATTTTTATATCTCCAGCTTATTGACGCTTCTTCTAGGCGTAATAATGATCTTGTTATTATATCTAAAATGATTAGAAATAATATTTTGATAATAATACTATGATACTCGAATACGAACAAGGAATTTCATGGGAAAATGAAAAGGAACGAAAAAGTTACATCTTTCTTTACGTGAGGGTTTATTGCGTAAGTTAACAAAATACATAATTAACACCAGTCAGGTAAAAGTGTAATCATCATTCATCTGTTATAAAGATTTTTACTGGATCCTAGGACAACATAAATTTCGATATATTTGCTTTACCAATAAAACGAAAAAAAACCATCGTTTGCTCTAATTTTTTTTGTGAAAATAAGCTTTATGATTAAATTCAATTTTAATATGGCTTTTGCAATTTTTACTTCGAAATTATATTTTTTTATTGAATTTTTAAAATTACAGTAGAATATTTCGAAATCTATAATTTCTGAAATATATATTTGATGTTTCTTAGAAATCTTAATAGTGTATCATTTTTGTGTCAAAACTATGCCGTGCCGTTTTTCGATTCATCAATAAAACGATTTAGTTATATTATCATTAATTAAAATTTTCACAAGTGTATATATAAATATCCCAAATTTTATACTATATAAATTAGTGTCGACCGTCGAAGTATCTATACGAAACTTGGCAGCCCGAGACATCCAAGCTTGGAAGAAACACAGTTCATGATTATCTTTTCCACAAAGAATACTAATTAAATATTTAATCGATAAGATTTTAACTCTTTCGATAAAGCAATGAAAATCAACTTTTTGATTAAAAAATATAAAACAATATAGGACCAATGGATCCCGAACCGTATTACGCTTTTTGCATATGCGAACAACTTATAGAGAGACTAATACAAATTACATTCTTTCTCAAAGAAAAAAAAAACAATTACATGACCCAAAAAAAGTTTAGCTTGATATATCTCTCCTTTCTTTATTTTTCTACCTGACAAAGAAATTTAATT